ACATTCCCATTTCATACATTACAAATAGTAATAATTACACATTCCCAGAACATTATAGATAGAATACAATTGGAATATTACGAAATAATTACATCATAATAGCAACACCAATAACGATTATAATGATAACAATAATCAACAAATTTCATCGAAGGGTGCGAGGAACGCCAAGTTCGAAAGGATTGTCAGCAGGCGACTTCAGATAAGAATGAACGTAATTTTTGCCAACAACTACAGAATACTCTGTTGATGCAGAGAAGTGAGCTTCGAGGGGAGAATTCGTGATAAACTCATGACAAAAACGGCGAAAATGATTGAAATCGGGAATGTTAATGTTTTGCAGGAGAATATATTGAAGTTGGCTGAACTAAAAAACTGAAAGTTTTGGAAGGAGAGAATGAAAAGAGAAAAGAATTCACAGTGACAATATAAAGAGTTGATTAGAGCCAACAAAAGAACGAGCAAGGTTTTCCTTGTCTCATTTGTATCACAAACAATGACGAGTATTGACAGAATCACAATATTCTTCTCGAATAACGATCGCAAATCACATTGATTAATGCACAGTTTATCGTTTATTGAATCTACTCAATTGCAAAATCTATATTCAAACAAAGTTCACTACTGAATGGAAAATCCTCAAAGAAAACAACAAAAAATTCATCACAAACATAATGAACGAGCATGGTAAAGCATGACACATGTTGAGAACTGCGATGGTGGAGATGATGTTGATATATGGGTGATCACAAGATAATGTTTCGGGGCAGGTCAATGATAAGTTCAATTGTGCGATAAAGCTGCAGTTCCTTCATCGAATGGCAACAAACTACATTCAGGTTGATGGAGATTTCTAATCAAGGAACGGAAATTTCTACAGTTTCTCTACGATAAATCCTCACTGAAGTACATCCTTTAACCACCATCAGCAGTATTTTAAAATGATTACGCGATGGAAACGATCAAAACCATTATTGCATTTTATCGAACGTTGACGAACTGAAAGTAGACAATGAGCTTTTTGAGTGAATAGCAAATTATACATATGTTCATCTGCATGGTTATTCTTAGTCTTGAGCGAACACTCCACATAATTATTGCATCAAACAGANATTTTCTTCAGTTCCAAAATTTCTGCGACAGAAGTTATGCCTCTGCTTAGTGGATGGAATGAAAAAAAAAACAAACAAAATATTACAAACAGCAACAACGCATAGCGAAATAATCAAAAATGTCATTGAAAAAACATAGAAGAAATAAATTAAGAATGTAAATTAGATCAATTGAAGTTCACAGTTACCAATTGAAATAGTACTGCTGTAAAGGTGTTGAACTGCTGATTACACTTTTGCAATGAGCGATCGATTGAATCTTAACATGACATCACGTTCCATACGTTCCGTGTCATCAATTGACTTCAATAATGACATCGGGTCAAATTGCTGGAAGGTGTTATTATTGGATGTGATGTTGGTGGATGACGATGGCTGAGGTGTTGATAAGAGTGTGGATAGGTTGCACTGATCATTCGAAAAGATGCGTTCTAATGAGGTTGTTGACGATGGGATTGTTAACAGATCCACTGCAACGTCACACAACTGGCCGTACTTTGTGCTGTTGAAGTGCCAGAATTGTAGCGGTGATAGCATGGACGATGACAGCGATAACGGCTTGTGATTAGCCACGTTGCTTGCACTCTGAAAAGTGGGTGGCTTTTGTTTCGTGTTTTGCTTTTTCGGAACCAACTTACTCACTTACGTGCCAACAGCGACTGAGTTTATTTCCTCGATTCCATACAAATATACTTGGAAATTCTGTTATCACAAAATTTTGAATAAACATCTTGCTAGGAGCACATTCATTTGGTTGGGAAAACATAAAATTTTAACATAACATTCACAAAGGATAATAGAAGAGATTGCAAAAGCCCACCATAACATCGTCAAAATATGACACCACAATTGCCTCCGCATTACGATGCTTTCCATCAATTTGCTGATGCTGTTGACGATCCTGAAATAAAGTATTCTCTTGTTTGGCTGTACTCAACGAAAGCACTTACAATAACAAGTTCGGGGCAATAAACACATCAAGTAATGCATAACTCTGTACGACATACCTGCGTCATCAATTCACATCGCTCGTTTGCCACTGCAGCAAGATCTGGGCGTGTTGCTGTTGGGCTACTCTTCTTATCAAGTGAGTTATCGCCGGCGCTTGTAGTAGCCATACAAAGAGTATTAGTGGATATATTGGCGTTAGCATTATTATCATTGTGATCAGTATCGCTATTAATATCAACATTGTTGTCACTAATAATATTGTTGAAGAGAGTGGTTGAATTCGATGAGCTTGCCATTGTATTGTTACGATCTTGAACTGCTGCTAACAACGCATCAACACATCCGTTTAATTTCATTGATCTTCGTGATACGACATCATCATTCGATCGAATACGGTCATTCAACTTAAATTATCACTTATCTTGTGAATTCTTTTCATCTTTTTAATATTTTTGAGACTCCGAAAACGATTCTTATGATGTCATTCGCTTTGAAAATCAACGAAAATTTGTTGCGAAAATGGTCGGTTGTTGAATGAAATTAACTTAATTGTTTCATGTTGTTTTTCAGAAGATTCCTCAATGCATTATAATGGAATAAATGATAATATCGAAAACGTGTGATATATTAAGAAGAAATATTTGGTGTATATTAAGAAGGGAGTAAATTTTTTAAGAAGGAAGTAAAAATTTACTTGTCGTTGAATAGCACTTTTAGCGTAATTGAATTGTTCGTTGTTAAGAAGTGATACGAAATGATGATTGAGGGCTGTTGCTTGAATGAACGAACCATCGAAATCACTCGACGACACATCAAATATTGACGACGTTCGTGTTCGCAGCTCATCTTTCAACTGTGTCATCAAATCACCCAAACTTGCAAAATCCTGCATACAAAAAAACCTATTATTGAGACTATAACAACATCGAGGCATCAAAGTCTGATTTTTGAAAGGAACAGTTCTTGGTTGTCGAGGAATATAAACAAGGCGATGATGGAGGGATGGGAAATTCCAAGATGAAATGTGACCTTATTGAGCGATAACTGTAACTGCAGTAATGATGGTATCACGTAATCAATTGTCACATATTTACTATCTCGAATTATATTCGTGTGTGAACGAAAGAGTCGTAGCAATCTTGAAACTCCCTCGAGCATTTGCCTGCAAGATAAAAAGCATCTTTACAGGGTATATCCTTTAATGCAATCTAGCAATGGCATCTGCTACACATCAGAAGATTTGTGCTTGA